AGGGGGAGGGGCAGGAGGACGAGGTGACGGGCAGGGGGACGAGGTGACGGGCAGGGGGAAGGTAGCGGGAGATTGGCGTTCGCGCGCGCGCGCGCGTCGCGACGAGTTCGTAGAGAAACGGGCTATTTTGCGAGTTGACTCGAGAATAGTCTGTACGACGGCCAATTCGGCGCGGGTGCGACGAGGAGGTCGCACAGGAACGGCAACGTTCGAATCGACCCATCTAAACTGAAAGACAGGAGCGCACCTGGCATCCATTGCACCGTGAGCGACGGCCACTCGAGCGCGTGCGTTATAACGAGGTCGTATAGAAACGGGGTGTTCTTCTTCCAGATCTTATACTCCTCGTTAATCACCCGCTCCTCCCCCTCGTCCGGGTACTCCTCCTCCTCCCGCGCCATTCTGCCCGCTCCCGCTCTTCAAAGTGTCTTTTAGTCAGCACTTAACCTTTCGTGTCTAACAAACGGCTTAAGCTTATGGGCCTTTCAAACTTGAAGAGCGTGCTGAAAGGCTCGGATCACGACGGACCGACGCGATGTATAGCGGCACTACAAGTACGAAAGGGACTTCTAAACAAGTACACGTTGTATGAGTCCAACGGCCGAGCACTATGTCGTTCGGAATAGCGCACAAACTAGAACGTCAGTTGCCAGACCTCGATCTAGAGCGCTACGCCGGCCTGGACGGGTCGGAAGGAACCTAGAGGGGATGAAAGGAGTGGTTCGAGAAAGTAATTCGGGTGGAAATATGCTGCCTGCACCCGAATTACGGTAAAATTCGTTTGAACTGGTTGGAATTTTACATTTTTACTTATTGATTTTGTGCTGCTTGTAGGCATCGGCCTATTAGCTCAGCTGGTTAGAGCGTCGTGCTAATAACGCGAAGGTCACAGGTTCGAGACCTGTATGGGCCAATCATCACATGTGTTGATTATCTTTTGTAGTCCGAGTACTACATGCAACTTCCCCAACATCTCCGATACAAGCACAAGCAAGATTCGAGACACATCCTTCTCATGCTTTGTGACTGGGCTTCTGGAGTTTTGTTTGCTTGACACCCCTCTCAACCGTTTCAGAATTTTAATTGAACGTTCAACAACACAACATATCTTAACGAACCGCAATCCAACATATCAGTCTGTGGCCTTCCAATAACTGCTCGCCTATCCAGCAACCTTCAACCTAAATATCTCCTTGCCGGGCATTTCCCCACAGCCGTTATCCCCTGCACAAGCTCATTTCCCCAACAACCATTATCGAGTCCAGGATACTGACAGCTGCCTTCTCTTACCTACCGCCACTAACCTAGATATAATCCCGTACTGCAGTCCGTTCGTTCTCGTCCGAGCGTTCTTGCACATTCTTATTTTACTGGACCGTTTCTCTTCCTATTCTTTGAGACGTTATAAACGGCAGCGCGTATTTTAAAAGAATGGCGGCGACGGAGGCACCCCCGCGGCGCATAGTGGTGGCGATCGACGACTCCACGGGCAGCACGGAGGCGCTGCAATGGGCGCTCGACAACATGCAGCTACAGCCGGGTGGGTGCTGCAGTTGATAAGAAAAAGCATGGAAAACAATGCTTCTGAGTCGACTCAAAAGGAAAACAATGCCAGGCAGTCACCGGCTCACAGCCGGGCGGGTGCTTACTCCGTGTGTAATGAGTCGTGTAATGAGTCGTGTAATGAGTCGACTCAAAAATCGTCTCATTACACAAGGCCAGGCAGTCACAGCCGGGCGGGTGCTTACTCGTACGTCGTTGCTTCTGCCCCCTCTCCCTCGCAGGTCGCGACACCATCCTTCTCGTCAACACCCAGTCGTATTCCGCCTGCCCTGTCCACACCCGTTCCTTTACTGCGTAACTCGTCATTACATCGCTCGTGCTCTCCCGCTCTGTCCGCTCTCCCTTGCAGGTCGCGACACCATCGTTCTGGTCAACACCCAGTCGTACTCCGCTGCGCCCACCTCGCGACCAGGTGAGTCAATGCGGCATGCGTGCTCTATGACGCCCCACCGCTCGCACCACCTCACCTTCAACCGCACCAAGCCAACCGCACCAAGCCAACCGCACCAAGCCAACTGCACCAAGCCAACCGCGCCACCGCACCAAGCCAGCCGCGCCACCGCAACAAGCCAACCGCGCCACCGCACCAAGCCAACTGCGCCACCGCACCAAGCCAACTGCGCCACCGCACCAAGCCAGCCGCGCCACCGCAACAAGCCAACCGCGCCACCGCACCAAGCCAACCGCGCCACCGCACCAAGCCAACCGCGCCACCGCACCAAGCCAGCCGCGCCACCGCAACAAGCCAACCGCGCCACCGCACCAAGCCAACCGCGCCACCGCACCAAGCCAACCGCGCCACCGCACCAAGCCAACCGCGCCACCGCACCAAGCCAACGCGCCACCGCACCAATCCAACCGTGCCACCGCAACAAGCCAACTGTGCCACCGCACCAAGCCAACCGCGCCACCGCACCAAGCCAACCGCGCCACTGCACCAAGCCAGCCGTGCCACCGCAACAAGCCAACCGCGCCACCGCGCCAAGCCAACCGCGCCACCGCAACAAGCCAACCGCGCCACCGCGCCAAGCCAACCGCGCCACCGCACCAAGCCAGCCGCGCCACCGCACCAAGCCAACCGCGCCACCGCACCAAGCCAACCGCGCCACCGCACCAAGCCAACCGCGCCACCGCACCAAGCCAACCGCGCCACCACACCAAGCCAGCCGCGCCACCGCAACAAGCCAACCGCGCCACCGCACCAAGCCAACCGCGCCACCGCACCAAGCCAACCGCGGCACCGCACCAAGCCAACCGCGCCACCGCACCAAGCCAGCCGCGCCACCGCAACAAGCCAACCGCGCCACCGCACCAAGCCAACCGCGCCACCGCACCAAGCCAACTGCGCCACCGCACCAAGCCAAACGCGCCACCGCACCAATCCAACCGTGCCACCGCAACAAGCCAACTGTGCCACCGCACCAAGCCAGCCGCGCCACCGCACCAAGCCAACCGCGCCACCGCACCAAGCCAGCCGCGCCACCGCAAAAAGCCAACCGCGCCACCGCGCCAAGCCAACCGCGCCACCGCACCAAGCCGGAACATACACGTCCCACCCTTGCTGGCCTCTCCCCTCGCCTTCCCTCCAATCACAGGCTTCCACGTGTCCCAGGGGGAGATCCTGGCGGACACTCAGAGGAAGAAGGACGCCGGGTACAAGCTGCTGGAGAAATACAAAGCCAAGTGCGAGGAGCGCCAGGTGAGGATGGGGGGGGCGAGGAGCGCCAGGTGAGGATGTGGGGGGCGAGGAGCGCCAGGTGAGGAATAGGTGTGTTGAGTGCCTGGTGGGAGGATTCAAAAACAGGTGATTGGGGAATTCCACAGAAGAAGGGCGCCGGGTACAAGCTGCTGGAGAGATACAACGCCACGTGCGAGGAGCGGCAGGTGAGGGCAGTGCGAGGAGTGCCATGTAAGGGACGGGGCGAGGAGCGCAAGGCGAGTAAGTAATAGGTCTCTTTTTGGGTCTGTAAAAAATTCAGGTAAAAGGCGGTTTAGAGGAAGAAGGGCGCTGGCTAGACGCAGCTGGAGAAATACAAAGCCAAGTGCGAGGAGGGCAAGGTGAGGAGAGAGGGTTTACTTTGACAGAGTTCAAGTTTGTAACCATAAGTGTGAAGAGTGCAAGGTGAGGAGTTTGAGAGAGTAGCAAGTTCTGCAGCAACGAGCTCCAGTGCAGGCATAGTAGCAGAGTGCAGGCATAGTAGCAGAGTGCAGGCAGGATTCGATTTTTGAGGGGCTTCAAAAATCGAGTGCAGGCAGGATTCGTTGACCTTTTGCTCGCTTTTCTTCTTCACCTGTTCCCCCCCCCCTCCCCCCCCTCCCCCCCCCTCTCAACCTTCTTTGCTGACGTGGCAGCTGCTGTGTGAGACACGTGTGATGATAGGCGATGCCAGGCTGTCGATATCAGAGGCAGCAGAGCAGGCCAAGGCGGATGCAGTGGTGGTGGGGAGCCGGGGGCATGGGGCTCTCAAGAGGTGAGTTGTGAGGGGCATGGGGCTCTAAAGAGGGTGTTGGAGGGTAGTTATGCTGCATGCAGCTCTTGGTGAGGCAGCAGAGCAGCAGGCCAAGGCGGATGCGGTTGTGGTGGGGAGCCGAGGGCACGGGGGACTCAAAAGGTGGCATTTGGGGGGGCTCAAAAGGTGGCATTTGGGGGGGCTCAAAAGGTGGCATTTGGGGGGGCTCAAAAGGTGGCATTTGGGGGGGCTCAAAGGGTTTGGTTTGGTGAAATCCAGCAGGTGTGGGCAGATAACATTGAGGGGGTGGGGGGAAGGGCGCTCTGTGAATTATATTGAAAGGCCTCAAATGAAACTGATTTGCGTGTGGCTCATGTGCTGTTCTACTTCCCCCCACCCCCTAAATGTTATCTGCCCACACCTACAGGCTTGTCCTGGGCAGTGTGAGTGACTCCTGCACGGCCCATGCCAAGCGCTGTTACCCTTGCTCCCCTCTCCCCTCCTGTGGCCGCCCTTGCTCCCCTGCAGGCTCGTGCTGGGCAGTGTGAGTGAGTACTGCGCGCACCACTGTCCGATGCCCGTCATAATTGTCAGACCCAACAAGATCGGGCAGCCCGACACTGCTGTGCCCATGGATTGACTTGACGCCCTTGGGTTGACAGTGCAACTTTCAATGTTACTGATGTGCATAACTGCCGGCCTGCTATATGGTATTAGTACGCAATTGCCCCAAGGAACTGCTGTCCAGTCAGATGCCTGGGTAGTAATAGTTCAGTGCATTGCTGAGATTGTCACTTCTTGTGATGAATCTGCTTTTGAGTCAACTCGAAAGCGATTTGCTGACCAGTCAGATGCCTGTGATAGTGATAGTTCAGAGCATTCCTAAGATAGTCATATTATCTGCAGTCATCTTTTTCTTCGGTTACAAAAAACAGTAAGGCTATGCGGTTTTACCACTAGCTCATTGTAGTTAGTAAAATGAGTGAATGGACTCTACGGGCTAATAATGCCATAAGATTTCAACGTGTCTGAACAAAGGCTGAAGGTTTGAACCCTACAGGGCTACTATATCACCACAAGATATGCAACAGTCATGGCAAAACAATGGCAGTACAGTTTTACCACCTACCTATGCTGCAGCACAGTGCAGGCAGGGAGCATGTGAAACAGATTACCGTAACAAGGACCTTTCACAGCAGGTGAGGTACAGCTAACCTCCTGTCATCTTCAATCAATCCCTGCGCGTGCGTCTCCTGACCTTAGTCTCAGCCTCCTCCTTCACCTCATCCTCCACACCTGCAGGCTGGGCTTCCGAGGCTGCAGGTATGGCTTCCGAGGCTGCAGGCTTGGCAGGCTCCTCCTCGGTAGCCGGCTCTGCTGCCTCCTCAGCTGTGCCCTTGGCAGGCTCATCCTTTGACTCGACCTCACCCTCGTCCTTGGCCTCTTCCTTGCTCTCCTCGGGAGCATCATCAGGTGCAGAGATGTCCTCCTTCTTGGCCCTCTCGAGTGACACCTGCCAGGGAGGAATAGAGGGAGCCCAAGAGAGCAAGGGGTGAAATAGTTCTTAGCATCTAGCTCTCCTTCGGGAGCCTTCTCAGGTGACATCTTCCTTCTTGGCCCTCTCTAGTAACACCTGTTGGGAACGCACAGACACAGAGGAAGCGAGATTGGAATGGGAGAGCAGTCAGCTTGGAAACAGGACTAGGGTTTCGACACAGCAGACAGGCTTCACTGAGAACATCAGTGCTAACAGCAGAAGCGGCAGAGAGGACAGGACAATAAAGTCTTTCTGCCCACCTGGTCTGAGGGCCGCTTGGGCGAGGAGAGCAGCACGGTGACGAGCAGCAGGAAGGGCACGAGCGGGATGAGGATGAGGATGCCCACGGTGGCGTACGGGTACTTGGCTGCTTCCACCAGAATGGCCTGGAGTGGCGAGAAGGGGCAGGGCAGTCGGGGGTGGTGTGTTGGTCAATTCAATGATGAGGAGGGGGCGGTGGCGCATGGGTCCTTGGCAGTTGTATTTTGAGTCGACTCAAAATACACCTTTCCGTCAATGCAATGATGAGGAGGGGACAGTGGCACATGGGTACTTGGCAGTTTCCACCAAAGTTGGAGATGTAAAGCAGGAGAAGAGTGAAAGAAATGTGGTGAGAGAACAGGTGGGAGCAGGGGGCAGCAGGGGCGGAGAGGAAAAGTGGCATTTAAGAGAGAGGGAGTGAGGGAGGGGGGGGTGGGGCGCGGAGGGTTTGGGGGGGGGGGGAAGAGACGAGGTGTTGTGGGAAAGAGAGAGCGAGCAACGCACCTTGAGCTGTGGGCGCACAGCCGTGAGAGCAGGGGCGTCTGCGACCTTGTGTAGCGTCTCAATGAGCTTGCCCTGCACAGGGGGTCAAGGGAGGGGGGTCAAAGAGGGATGTGAGTGGGGGAAAAGGAGGGGAAGCAACAACTGGGGCAATCAATGAGCTTGAGAGCAGAGGGGCGTCTGCCACCTTGTGAAGCGTCTCAATGAACAAGGGAGGGGCAGGGGAGGGGCAAGGGAGGGAGGAGAACCATTATGGAAACCCTAATAGGCCCTTGAAAGAAGGGGCGTCTGCAACCTTGTGCAGCGTCTCAATGAGCTTGCCCTGCACAGGGGGTCAAGTCAATGGGTCCACGAGAGAGGAGCGAAGGAGCACGAGAGCAAAGAAGCTGAACAGGAGTCAGGCTTGAGGGGCAGACAGCGCCATTCAGTGAAGAGATAGGTACCCTCTTATTCTGGCTACTACCGACCTCAGCTACTACCCCAACGCACACTCATCTCCCGCCTGCCCCTCCCATCTCCCCACCTCCCAGCCGCCCTTCCCAGCGGATTTTTTCTTCAGCTTGATGTCCTCCGCCTCCCGCTTTGCCTGCTCCGCCGGCTTCTCCTCGACATCCACGCCTCGCTCCTCCCTGTCCCAGCACGTACTCTACATTTTAGACTCGCCTCCAGCTCCCTCGAATGTACTGCACCTCACAAGTACTGCTCACTCACCTCCCAGCCGCCCTTCCCAGCGGACTCCTTCTTCAGCTTCGCGTCCTCCGCCTCCCGCTTCGCCTGCTCCGCCGCCTTCTCCTTGGCGAACTTGGGCGCCCACTTCTCCCGCCTGTACTTCTCCGCCACAGCGGGGTCGCTTGTAACGAGGACGTCGTCAAAGAGAATGCCGTCCTGTTGGTGAGGGATTCAAGGATGGATGGAGGTCAAAACGTAACTTGGCAACAATGGTGCGGAGGGGAAAGAAGAGACTGGGGGGGGGGGGAATCATCCCATCCCAAGGGATTTGAAGTCCACGCGTCGCTCGGTGGATCGTCTGGTCTGTTGCCCGCTCCAGTACGCAAAGCAAACAGCCACCCCTCCCTCCGTTTCCTTCCCATGGTAACTTTTTTAGTCAAACAGAGAAATTGCCCCCTCCTGTGTGTAAAGCAAATTGCTACCCCTCCCTCCGTTTTCTTCCCAAACACCTCCCTCCGTATTCTTCCCATCACTCGCGTCTAAGTCCGACAGGCCTCTCTTTGCTACTGCCACCCTGAGCTTTCACGTACCACCTCTTCGCGTTTCTCACGCCCCATTCCCTTCTTGGACAGTGCCCACTACTCATCCTGTCTACCTCTGCCAGTCGATTCCATTCCCAGTCGCTCGCCAACCACGGCCTCCTCCCACCCTACGACAAAACCCAAAACCCTCCGTAGTCATAACGCATTCCGCCTCCTGAAATCCCCTCGCCCTGCACCCACCGACAAGGTCCAGTTTTCGATACCCATACCGGCCACGCTCTCCAGGAGCGAGCGGTCCAGGTGGAAGTAGTCCGGGTTGGGAATGTCGCGCGCCTTCCACACGCCACTGCACGCGAGGTCCCAGCACCGCAGCCCTTTGAATCACCGACATGGTCCAGATCTCGATGCCCACAGCCAGCTTGCTCTCGACGTCCGGCCGGTGCAAGCTGTTCGTCCTACTTCTACGTGGCTGTTCTCCTATCAATCTCTTCCCAACCCTTCGCCCCTGCACTTACCGACATGGTCCAGATCTCGATGCCAACAGCGGCCACGCTCTCCAGGTGCGGGCGGTCGAGGTGGAAGTAGTCCGGGTTGGGGATGTCGCGGGCCTTCCACACGCCCTTGTACGCGGGGTTGTCGATGAGCGGCGCAGTCCACTTGCCCTTGTACGCGGGATTGCGCTTCATGGGTCGCTTCCACTCGCCGCACCCGGGCGCCTCCTCGCACTTGGGGTTGGGCGCCTTGGGCGGCTCCCACTCGCCGTCCTCCTCCTCGTCCCAATCGTCCGGCTTCTTCGCCTCGGGGTCGTCCACCTGTCATGGGACGGGAGTTGGCCGGGGGAGAAGCGTATAGAGAGGAATATGAAGATCTTGGGGAAGACACAAGGAGGGAGAAGAAATTATTTTTGGCCTAACATGCCAGTAGAATTTGAGCAAACCTCACCTCCTCGGACCCAGCATCTATCCACTCACCTCCTCTGGCTAGTCGTCCAGCCATCCCTCGGGCTTGTCCCACGGCTCCTAGGATGCGGTAATCCATCTCTAGCAATCCGTCTCTCACCCACCCAGCCCCCCAACCAGCCACTCACCTCCTCGGGCTCGTCGTCCAGCCACCCGTCGGGCTTGGTAGCGTCTTCGTCGGGGATCTCGCGGGGGGCGTCCTCGTCCCAGTCGTCCGGCTTGGTCGCCTGGGGGTCCTTGATCTTGGGCCGCTCGTCCCTGCACGCACACGCACATACACACGCATCGGAATTGCGCGTGCCATTCATAAGTTGCGGGTGACTTTTCACTTCTTGTGGAAAGCGACAGACAATTACACGCATGCAGTGCGTATCCAGGAGACAACCAGGATTCATGTTTTTTAAAACAAGAGAACAACGCACAACATACGTGCTCTAGATCCCCTTAACGCAGCCCCTCAACTCACCAGTCGTCGGGCTTCTTATCCTCGGGGTCTGGAATCGTCTTGGGCAGCAGCACGGGCGGCTGGAAATCCTTTCCAGAAAGCAGATCGCCCTCCGCCTTCTTCTCGCCGTCGATGAGGATGTGCACCGTGTTGTTCGGGTACACCACCGCCGTGTACACGTGCGACAGCTTGTCGTACGTCAGCGGCGAGGCCGGCTGCTTCATGTGGTGCTCCACGTACTCGCCCGTCTTGGGTGACTTGTGGCGGAAAATAAAGTGCACTTTATTCGTCGAGCCGCACTTGTCGGGTCCGAACATGATCGAGTAGGGTGAGTCGTCCTTGAACTGGCTGGGGGTCCAGCCGGCCTCCTGATTGGTCCACGCGAGAGGACAGGTGGGGAAAAACGGGGGTAGCAGGTCAGGTGGACTGACAAAAGGCGGATGAAACGAATAATGGGAAACAGAACAGTGCGCTCAGCACAAGAAATGTTGATCCTAGAAAACCAATCAAGGTTCTATACTATGGTCGCATATTACGGTTGCATACCTGTGGCATGAGGAACTTGAGATACGCGCCGCCGCATTCGAGGTTGTTCTGCAGGCGAACTTCGTACTGCAGCACCAGGGTGTCCGCCTTCGGGTCCACGGGCTCGGGAAGTTCTGCTGCGATGCCGTACTTCTTCGCCTTCTCGGTTACCAGCAGGCCGTAATCGCCCGACGCTTCGCCAGGAGCCCACTTCCATTTGCCTGAGCAGCAGGAATGAGGCGGCATAGATCGACGTTCGACGCAATGTTAAAATCAGAACATCCACATATACAAACCCGTTCGGCAATATAAAATGTGTCACGTAATCCCAAGAAATCGATCATAATTATGGAGTGATTCCTGCGACATACCTGTGTAGTCTGCGCTGCTAGAGACGACCCAGCGACCAGCATAATCCTCGTCGAAGGACTCGAAAAACTCGATCTGCAAATCATGGATCGGAAGGGAAAGCGGGTGCATAGCCAGAGGTATTTGGGGGTGTTGGGGGGTATTTGGGGGAACTTGGGGGTACTTGGAGTCGAACAGCTGAGGAAGGAAACGAGTTGACTAACCTGCAGAATCGTATCACCATAGTCAGTTAGCTGTTACAAGGATTTACATCAACTTACGGCAAGGCATGACTGGGTTGTGACGAGCACGAGCGCCAGGAGCGCAAGAAGCGCTGACCTCGCCATGGTACACGGTCCCTCGTCCAGGCCCCGTACGCTGAAGAAATAACACGATCTAAGACTACTAGCAGGGTTCTAGAATCTAAGACCCGTTCTGCCGTGATCTGTTGTCCCCTGACTGCAAGGCGAACTAGAAATGCAACGGCCTTTCAAAAAGGAGCCTAGAGATGATCAGATTCCAGGCTGGTCTCGGAATTTCATTTCAGGCAGAAGCGAGATTCGTGTGTGTGAGATGCGAGGTGAGGTGAGGTGCGCGCTGGCAGGCAGGCAAGCGGATTCTTCCAGAAGCCTGACAACATGGATCCATGAGCTTTCGATCAAGGTGTCCGATCTGGAACGGTTGAATGGTGGAAAAATCATCTGGTGAAATCGACGGCCGTTCAGAGACTCCGAATCCGATCGACGGGCGCGGAGTCCGACGCGAGCGTTTCAAAGGAGCGCAGTGATTGGAGGCCGTTGCAAAGCAGAAACCTTATTGGACAGCGAGACGTGGCCTTCACCAGCAGACGAAAATGGAAATGATGCCTACACCCTTTTCCACGTTCGCTACACCTCCACGGAGATGGTAGTCCATAATGACATTGCGTTTGATTCACAAAAAGTTCACTTCACTAGTATTGCGTGGCTTCAGTGATTTAACTAGGCTGGACGCATATCATGCATCCAATCCAACAAGCTGCTCTGATCTCTCTACCCAGTAATGACATTTCAATTGAAATCTACTGACGGAGTTTCTACATCGCTGTCTGAATTAGACTATTTTCCCAGGAACCTGGTGAACAATTACCAGCCATCATCGCATGGGGGCCTTGACCCGTAGGAACCTCAAATCTCAGGGCTACCAAGACTGGGCCAAAAGGCACCTTTGACCAAGACTCAATGAGCCATTCACCGTTGAGGATATCCAAGGGACCAAGCACAATCCTTCACTACACCGACTGTTCAAACGCCTGACAGCAGACTCGGGCTAGGTGAGTGGGAAGGGGGATGGGAAAGGAAGGCTTATGATGAGCGTATGATCAGTTGAGAAACTGCTCGGATGAGGAACTACGACGCTACAAGGTAACAGAGACGCTGTAAGAGAACAGTGAGACGGTTCAAGTGAACAGAGAGACGGCACAAGTGAACAGAGAGACGGTACAAGTGAACAGAGAGACGGTACAAGTAAACAGAGAGACGGTACAAGTAAACAGAGAGACGGTACAAGTGAACAGAGAGACGGTACAAGTGAACAGAGAGACGGCACAAGGGAACAGAGAGACGGCACAAGTGAACAGAGAGACGGTACAAGTAAACAGAGAGATGGTACAAGTGAACAGAGAGACGGTAGAAGTAAACAGAGAGACGGTACAAGTGAACAGAGAGACGGTACAATGGAACAGAGAGACAGCACAAGTAAACAGAAAAACGGTACAAGTGAACAGAGAGACGGTACAAGTGAACAGAGAGACGGTACAAGTCAACAGAGAGACGGTACAAGGGAACAGAGATCCGGTATACGGGAATAGAGAGATGATACAAGGGAATAGAGATACGGTATAAGGGAACAGAGATGCGGTACAAGGGAACAGAGATGCGGTACAAGGGAACAGAGATGCGGTACAAGGGAACAGAGATGCGGTACAAGGGAACAGAGATGCGGTACAAGGGAACAGAGTTGCGGTACAAGGGAACAGCGAGACGGTACAAGGGAATAGAGGCCCTACGAGGAAACAACGAAGATACAAGGGAACCACGCACGACGTTACAAAGAAACAGCGACGCTGTAACGAAAAGAACGACGTCATGGGTGACCTACGTGACGGTCTAACTGAACCGATCTCAGGCCACGCCCTCTGCTGCATCTATCTGCACCTGACGACAACCCTCCTCTCATTCCTTCTAGCACAGGACCCCGGCACCAGGACTGTCGATGACTGAGACCCCCTGAACCCTAAACTGAACGAGCCCAGCTTGAGAGGCCCACAACCTCTCCCACCTTATGCCTCTCCCTCCCGGGGTTTCAGGGACCTGACCTTGTAAGTCGTTCCCTAGCACACAGTCTCCCATTCCCCACCCATTGTCATTCCATGCACGCAACGAGATTGCGTATTCCCAAGGCATTGAGTGAACGTGATTTTAGTAAACATATACGCTTGGTACATGACATCAATGTACGAACCAGCGTGCCACTAACCTCCTGATCCCCTTCTGGCTGCGAAAATGCTTCGCCGCCAGAACGAACACCGTACGGAAGTTACCAGCACACATTGTTCACACGAGAGGGAACCCTCCTTAAAATCACATCCTTTACTTGATGCTGCACTTGGCACCGGCACCCTCCAGTTGCTTCTTGGCATCCTCAGCATCCTCCTTAGCAACAGCCTCCTTAACCTTCTTAGGAAGACCCTCAATCATGTCCTTAGCCTCCTTCAAGCCAAGGCCGGTGATCGCCCGGACGACCTTAATCACGGCGATACGCGACGACGCGGGGACCTCCTCCAGGAGCAGATCGAACTCCGTCTGCTCCTCAACGACGGCAGCGGCCTCGCCGGCGGCGGGAGCGGCAATGCCGGCGACCGGCATCATGGCAGCGGCGGACACGCCGAGCTCCTCCTGCAGCCTGTCAGTGAGAGTCCTGGCCTGAATGAGCGTGAGGTTCTTAATCTGCGAAACGAGCTCCTCGATATCGGTGGTCGCGGCGGAGGCCACGACGCGACCGGCGGCAAGAGCGCGGGTCTTCCTGACAGGCGCGACCGACACGACGGGGAGAGCGGATCCCCGTCGGAGGGACACGGATGAGAGGCATGGGGAGCTTGTGAGCGCAAGCTTGGTAGCGAGGGCCGCCATTTTCGAGTCTGTGAGGAGAGTAGACTACGGGGAGACTAAGGACGGCGACCTCGAGGGAGAATTGGAAGCTAAGGAGAAGGGAGAGCAACAGATGCTAGCTCGAGAACGGAGGGACGGAAAATGGCTGCTAGTCGTGAGGACAGTGGCACGAGAGAGGGAGCAAAGGGAGCAGTGCCAAGGGGGAAATTGAGGTGGATGACGTGGCATATGGATGTGTGAGAGTCAGGGCGGAAAGCAGTCTGCCTGGCTGTTTGCTGGTTGAGGGGCAGGGGGAGGAGTTGCGGATGATGTGCCGATGGGCTGGTGGTATACCACGAACATTGGTGTGTGTGTCTGTGCAAACGTGGCGGTCGGGGCTGCGCCAGATGCGCTGTAAAGCGGACAAATGGATAAAGGAAACTGGCGAGTGGTAACCTCTGCATCCACGACCCTCGCGTCACATTATCGAACGATTTGCCACGTCCAGAAATAAAATCGTGCTATGTAGAAGGGCGTTTCCCTCTATTGAATCAAATTCGATCTATGTTACGGTAGTTTAGCAAATGATATCGACGATTCCCTCATAGTGTGCGAAACACGTTCACTAAACATGAGTCATTCCGAAAATGTATTTATATAAATAATTCTGCCTCCATCCAAACATTCGCTTGTTCATCACAACAAAATCAGCTACCAACTTTCAAGCAGCAAGCGGTTTGCAACTACCTTCATGCCCTTCCATGTGACAGTGTCCTAAAAAAATAGCGTTACATTACCAGCACTCCTCCAGCACTTCTCCAGTGCACGTCTAGAAGCAAAGCTCCAGCACTGTACCATCCACCATAAACACATGCCCTGGTACAACTACGCATGTCTGTATGGTGAACAGCAGGATTGCTGCATGAGCACCTGGCAAGAGGAGCAGTCTAAACTTTTAATGCCCATTCGTGCCCTTAAACCTACAAGCTCCCTATCTCTCTTCACACTCTACTTGTTTCGCTCTGCTCCACTTCCTTCAGCATCCTGCATGGCCGTTCACACCACTATACCCTGCAGTCACATGGCATACCATACCATCCCATACAGTCACAACCCATACTGTCCCACACAGTCACAACCCACACCATCTCATGCAGTCACAACTCTCACCATCCCATGCAGTCACAACCCACACCATCCCATGCAGTCACAACCCAGACCATCCCATACAGTCACAACCCACACCATCCCATGCAGTCACAACCCTCACCATCCCATGTAGTCACAGCCTAGACCATTCCATGCAGTCACACCCCAGACCATTCCATGCAGTCACAGCCCAGACCATCCCATGCAGTCACAACCCATGCTTCACCACCCAGTTCATGCCATATATTCAACACACCAGACAACACCAGTCCATATTACATCAACCCATGTTAGCACGCGTCCTACCAGCAACACCCACACTAGCCCTAGCCCTGGCCCAGACCATGCCAAGTTGTAACAGGCGTATCACCCCCCTCATACTCTCACTCCTCATACGATTTTCCTGCTTCGTACTAACACCCCCCTTCATAATATCACCCCAATTCACAATATAATCCCCCATTATTATTTCCCCCGTACATACTGTTACCCCCATTCGTACAGTCACCCCCCGTCAAATAATTACCCCCCTTCTTCCTACCACCCCCCAATATACAATATTCTATCACCTTACGGCATACAATGATCCCCCTTCAACATACCAAACCCCTTCGAACTTATCCCCTTCATTCTCCATCACGCCCCTTCACACTATCAATCCCCATCACAGTACCACCCCCATTCATACAATCTCCCCACTCCCAACAATATAAACCCTGTGATCGCAGAATCCCCCATAACTTGTATCACCCCCCTTTATACCTTCGTCCCCCTTCACGCTATCACCCCCCGGTGATACTTATCAGACCCTTTCATACCGTCACCCCCCTTCATTCATACTATCAACCCCCCCCCCCACTTTCCATGCCACCATCCCCCTCCATACCATCACACCTCCTCATACCATCTGCCCCCTCATACCATCACCAACATTCGTACTACCAACCCCGTTCATATCATAACCCCCCTTCATACCATCATCCCCGTTCATACTCTGACCCTTCAAAATCTCACCCCCCGTTCAAAGTATCTCCCTCGTTCATACAATACCCGCCTTCATACTATCACCCTCGTTCATACAATATCCGCCTTCATACTATCACCCTCGTTCATACAATACCCGCCTTCATACTATCACCCCGTTCATACAATACCCGCCTTCATACTATCACCCTCGTTCATACAATACCCGCCTTCATACTATCACCCCGTTCATACAATACCCGCCTTCATACTATCACCCTCGTTCATACAATACCCGCCTTCATACTATCACCCTCGTTCATACAATACCCGCCTTCATACTATCACCCCGTTCCTTCTATCACCCTATCACCCCCCCCCCCCGTTCATAATGTTCCCCCCCCATACGATCACCCCCCATACAATAACACCTCTTCATACTACCATTCCCCTCATACTATCACCCTTGTTCATTCACCCCCCGTTCATACCATCACCCCCCCTCATTCATACTATCATCCCCATTCATACTATCATCCTCATTCATACTATCATCCCCATTCATACTATCATCCCCATTCATACTATCATCCTCATTCATACTATCATCCCCATTCATACTATCATCCCCATTCATACTATCATCCCCGTTCATACTATCATCCCCATTCATACTATCATCCCCGTTCATACTATCATCCTCATTCATACTATCATCCCCGTTCATACTATCATCCCCGTTCATACTATCATCCCCATTCATACTATCATCCTCATTCATACTATCATCCTCATTCATACTATCATCCTCATTCATACTATTACCCCCGTTCAAACTCTCACCCCCCGTTCGTTTTATCACCCCTATCACCCCCCAGTTCATACTGTCCCTTCCCCATACTATCACCATCCATACAATCACACCCCTTCATACTACCACCCTTGTTCATACTATCGCCCCCCTTCATACAATCACCCCCCTTTTATAGCATCACCCCTTCACACCATCGTTCCTGCTCGTACTCTCACCCCCCATTCATATTATCACCCTTGTTTTTACTGTGCCTTCATACCTTCACGCCCCGTTCATACTATCACCCCCAATTCGTACTATCACCCCTCTTCATATTATCATCCCCGTTCATACTATCACGCCTATCACCCCCCGTTCAAACTCTCGACCCCCATACAAGCACTCCCCTTCATACCATCACGCCCTCTCATACCATCACCCCTCTTCATACTGTCACCCCCCGTTCATATTATAACCCCCCTTCATACCATCACCCCCCTGCATATCTTCACCCCCCTTCATACTATCACCCCCCTTCATACTATCACACCACTCCATACAATCACCTCCAAACATCATACCCAGTCCCTTTCCGAGACAGCACCCCCAGTGGCCGTAGCCATGTCACCCAGGTGGAGCACAGGAGGGGTGCGAGGTCAGCCCAAGACCTGGGTGCCCCTCACCATCGTGGCACGAGCTTGCCTCACAGAAACCTGCGGCCGCCAGGTTCTGATTTGGCCTAATATGCCTTAAACGACGGGTATTGGGCCCAAGCACAGAGATTTGACACTCAAACAACCGCACTGCCGCCACCTGGCCCACACCGCATGAACCACCAGGAGCACTGGCCCATCCATCCCCCCTCCTCCAAACTTACCTCACTTACCTCACTTACCTCACTTACCTCACTTACCCCACTTACCCCACTTACCTCACTTACCCCACTTACCCCACTTACCTCACTTACCCCACTTACCCCACTTACCTCACTTACCTCACTTACCTCACTTACCTCACTTACCCCACTTACCTCACTTACCCCACTTACCTCACTTACCCCACTTACCTCACTTACCCCACTTACCTCACTTACCCCACTTACCTCACTTACCCCACTTACCTCACTTACCCCACTTACCTCACTTACCCCACTTACCTCACTTACCCCACTTACCTCACTTACCTCACTTACCTCACTTACCTCACTTACCTCACTTACCTCACTTACCTCACTTACCTCAGCTCTTCAGAGCACAACCAAGGATGACGCTGCTGGGGGGAAGGGGATGGTGGGGGTGGGGGCAGGTGGTGGTGGTGGTAGTGATGGTGGTGGTGGTGATGGTGGTGGTGGTGATGGTGGTGGGGGGAGGGGGTGAGGGGGGAGGGGGGTTTGGGGTTGAGAGGATGACCTCCTTCCTGCTGACCTCGCTCTGTTGACAACCAGGGATGATGCTGCCGGGTGGGGAAAAAAGAGGAGGGGGGAGAGGAGGGGAGAGAGTGGGGTTTGAGAGGGAGGGCTCCGTCCTGCGGCCTCCTTCCAGATGCGGTCTGAAGGAAGGGATGCATGGAGGAGAGGTATGAGATGACCTGCCTATGCCATACCGTACCGTACCCCGTACCACACCTTTGCCACACCTCGCTCGTTTAAACTAGCCTGCCTGCTAACTATCTAGCCCCTGTTGCTGCTGCTGCTGCTGCAATATTCCGGATGATGCCAACGACACTGCCAGGGGGGGCGGGGGGGGTGGGGGGGTGGAGCGATTAGGTCCATGGAGAGGGATGGCAGCAAGTGGGAAGTGAAGTACTGATGCATGGCAAGGGGAAGCATGAGGGGATCACCCCTGGTGTAGCTGCAGCTAGAGAACACAGACCATGAAGGGCACTGGTATAGTCTCTAAGGGTTACCTGAGGGTTTTACCTGACGGGATCACCTGAGGGGGTCACCTGAGGGGGTCACCTGGAGGCTGGTCTGTGTTCCATAGACTGAGCTTCGACCAGGGGTGAGGGTTTAGGAGGGCGACGAGCAAGAAACATTGAATGGTGCAGTGCTGTGCACTGAAGTGTGACTGAAATGATGAGGTGTAAAGAGCAAGGAAGGAGCAAGGTGAGGAGCAAAGCGCACGGAATACTCAGCTGGTTGCAATGCAGCAGCAGCAGCTGGTTGCAGCAGCAGCAGCACCTGTCCCGCGCTCCTTCCCACTCGTCCCCTCTCCTTTCCACTCCTTTCCTTGCCAAGTGCTGATCTTAGGGCTTGCACCCCACCCTCCTTCCGTCCTGACCCGTTACATGAGTCTAAGAGCTGCAAGGGAAGAGGGGAGGGGAGGGAAGAGAGGAGGACACACGTGAGAACAGTGGCAAGACAGCCAACAGACATGGAAGAAGCAGAGCATAGCAAAGCAGCAGAAGCAGTGAAGGACCAGAGGCAAGGGAGTGTAAGGCAGGAGAGCGAGAGGCTTGCCTGCTGTGGCAGCACCTATCCCTGGAACTCCCCCTGTTCAGCCAGCAGGGACGCTTCCAACAGATGACTTTTGAGTCGACTCAAAAGTCTCCCTGTTCAGCCAGCAGGGACGCTTCCAACAGATGACTTTTGAGTCGACTCAAAAGGCTCCCTGTTCAGCCAGCAGGGACGCTTCCAACAGATGACTTTTGAGTCGACTCAAAAGTCTCCCTGTTCAGTGACAGGTGCACGGAGAAGCGAGGTCGGTGGATGGGATGTGACAAAAAAATCTTCATAGAGAAGCCGAGAAGAGGAAATTTCACCCCTGGCTTAACAGCAGCAGCTGTAGAACACAGACCATGGATGAAGGAAGAGATGCTCGTCAAGTCTCTAGGGCTGAACTGAAGGTAGGCCTGACCTGAGGGGTAGGCCTGAAGGTAGGCCTGACCTGAGGTAATTCCCCTGAGAATTACCTGAGGAATTACCTGAGGAATTACCTGAGGAATTACCTGACCGGGGGAATTACCTGAGAGGATGGTCTGTGTTCCATAGACTGAGCCATGGCCAGGGGTGAGGGTTTGAGAGAAAGGAAAACCAGAACAAACGCGAAATGACAGGTCAAGTTTAGGGAGGCACGATTACTTAGCTGGAAATGGTCGGTGGTACCCATCCCAGATACTCTCCCGTTGCACCCAGCAGGGCTGCTGAGTTGGTGCGGAGTCACCCACCCGTCCCCATCAGAGGCCCTGCTGGGGGAGGGGCGGAGGCAGTGGAGAGGAAGTAAGTTGATGGGAGAGGGGAGGTTGTCTGCGTGATAGGAGTCTAGTTTTGAGGTGCCTCAAAACTAGACTCCTATCCTGCTGGGGGAGGGGCGGAGGCAGTGGAGAGGAAGTAAGTTGATGGGAGAGGGGAGGTTGTCAAAGGATGTGAAAGAGAAGGCGTGATTACTGAAAAGAAGAGACGGGGAGATTCACCCCTGGTGTGCCAGCAGCCATAGAATGCAGACCATGGGCAAAGGAGGGGGCGCTGGTTTAGTCTCTAGGGCTGAAGGGAGGTTGTACCTGAGGGATGGAACACCAGTTAGGTGCCATGTCGTCAATACGTGGCAGCAGCTATGTAGCGATACCTGTGAAAGTTAGTTTGTTGAGTGTTTGTGAAACTCGTAAAAAATGGCGGTAACCGGTTTCGGCTCGAAGCCTTCTTGACCGCTGGTCAAGTCTCTAGTGCTGAAGGGAGGTTGTACCTGAGGGGATTACCTCAGAAATTTACCTGGGGGGTTGACCTGAGAGGATTGGTCTGTGTTCTACAGAGTGATCTACTACGACCAGGGATGAGGTTTTAAAAGCAAGAAGAACACTGCACAAACGCAATTTGCAGGGTAAGGCTTACGAAGGCGCGAGTACTTAGCTGGAAATTGCTGGTTGCACCCATCCCAGATGCTCTCCCAGTGCGCCCAGCAGGGCTGCTGGGTTGGTGCGGATTCACACCTGACATCCTCCCCTCCCCTGATGGCGTCCAAACAGCAAGGCGCGCTTGACTGCACTCACCCCTGCCGTCCGCACAGAGGCCTGCTAGGGTGGTGGAGGAGGCATGCAGGAGGGCGATAAGGGGCAGGGAGAGGGGAGGTGGTCAGCAGGATGTGAAAGAAACGAGTTTCAAAAGAAGAGAAGGGAAGATTCAACCCTGGCGTACCAGCAGCTATAGAACACAGACCATGGATGAAGGAAGGGGCGCTAGTCCAGTCTCTAGGGCTGAAGGGAGGGAGTACATGAGGGGATTACCTGATACCTGATACCTGATACCTGATACCTGATACCTGATACCTGATACCTGATACCTGATACCTGATACCTGATACCTGATACCTGATACCTGATACCTGATACCTGATACCTGATACCTGATACCTGATACCTGATACCTGATACCTGATACCTGATACCTGATACCTGATACCTGATACCTGATACCTGATACCTGATACCTGATACCTGATACCTGATACCTGATACCTGATACCTGATACCTGATACCTGATACCTGATACCTGATACCTGATACCTGATACCTGATACCTGATACCTGATACCTGATACCTGATACCTGATACCTGATACCTGATACCTGATACCTGATACCTGATACCTGATACCTGATACCTGATACCTGATACCTGATACCTGATACCTGATACCTGATACCTGATACCTGATACCTGGGGTGATACCTGAGTGGTTGGTCTGTGTTCCATAGACAGAGCCACGGCCAGGGGTGGGGGTTTGAATGCAAGGAGAATGTTGCACAACTGCAAAATGGAAGGTCGGGCTTAGGGAGGAGCGGGTACTTAGCTGGACATTGTAGGCGGCTCCCATCCCGAATACTCTCCAAATGCACCCAGCAAGGCTGCTGAGTTGGTGCGGATTCACCCCACCCGTAGCCACCAGAGGCCTGCTGAGGGAGGGGGGGGGAGGAGGAAGTGGAAGGGGGACTAGGTGCAGGGAGGGGGGAGGTTGTCATCGATTGAGATGTGCAAAGAGCTCAGCGCAAAGCAGAGAAGAAGAGACTCACCCTTGGCGTAGCAGCAGCTGTAGAACACAGACCATGAATGAAGGGATGCTAGTCAAGTCTCTAGGGGTGAAGGGAGGCAGTAACTAAGGGTTATACCTGGGAGGTTTACCTGACTGCGTGGTCTGTGTTCTACAGACTGAGCATAGACTGAGCGACAACCAGGGTCGAGGGTCTGAGAGCAAGGAAAACCAGAAAGTGATTTTTGAGTCGACTCAAAATCAACCAGGGTTGAGCGTCTGAGAGCAAGAAAAACCAGAAACGCAAATGACAGGACGGAGGGGCGAGTTCTTAGCTGGAAATGGTCGGTGGCACCCATGCCAAATACTCTCCCATTGCACCCAGCAGGGCTGCTGAGCTGTGCAGAGTTGCCCCACCCGTCCCCATCAGAGGCCCTGCTGGGGAGGGTGGGAGGTGGGGGGGGAGTGGAAAGAATATTAGGTGCAGGGAGGGGGGCGGTGGAGGATGGGATGTGAAAGCAACTGATGCATTGCAACGCAGGACATGGAGGGCTCACCCCCCTGGCGTTGCAGCAGCTATAGAGCACAGACCATGGGTTAAGGTAAGGGGCAATAGTCAAGTGTCTAGGGGTGAAGGTAGGCTTGACCTGGGGGGTATACCTGGGGGGTTTTACCTCAGTGAACGGTCTGTGTTCTATAGACTGAGCGACCACCAGGGGTGAGGGTTTTGAAAGTGCAGAACGAGAAAATGAGAAGATGAAAGTGAGTGGTGGGTGGTGTGCGGTGTTGGCAGCAAGCAAGGAGTACTTAGCTGGTTTCTTGGCAGCAGCAGTACCTCCGATGCCTTACCACCCCCACTCCTCCCCTCCAAGTCCCTACTTACTGCACTCCCCTCCTCCACGCCCTCACCAACTGCACGAAGACCCAAGCCCTGACACCCTCCCTTCGCAGCCTGCAGGGGTGGTTAGTCAATGCAGCCAGACACCACCCCACAGCCACTGGTCACCAAGAGAGCTTCAGGCTTCAGCACAGCCATCCCAAAGCGTAGCACCTGCTGCAGGGTGGGAGGGGACAGGTAACACGGACATTTTAGGTGAGTGGCGGGGGTGAGGGAGAGGAGGATTGTATCAATGGGCGCAGTGGATGTACCAGCTAGCGGATGTATCTGAGATCTTTTGCAGCAGCCAGCGACTCACCCAGAGGACGTACCAGCTGAACCATACCATACAATACCGCATCTAACCACCTGGGGCGGCACCATACCGAACCTGCTAGTACCTGCCACCTGAAACCGTTGACCTGGGGAGGGTCCCTGGGCGAGCCACTGGCGGCTACGGCAGTGAGAAGGGCTGAGGCGCGGGGCAGCGATGGAGTGCAGGTGATTTCGAGTAAAGCTTGAGAATGAAGGTCGAGGTGGGGAGGGGACGGGTACTTACCTTTTGCTCGCAGGCTCGTTGACTCATGGCAAGACCCCCATGCGTCCGTCCGTGGCATGCCATGCACCCCTGCTGAAGCAGCTGTGGCTTCTGCTGCCACACCTTCAGGTCTTGCTCCAATCCTCCGCTCACCAAGTGCCCTGTCGAGGAGAGAAGAGAGAGGCAAAGAAACGAAAAGTCAAGCCACTCAATGCAGAGGTGCAGAGCACCAACAGAGTGAGTGGAAGAGGGTGTATGCATGCACCTCTGCAATGCAGAGGCACCTGTGCATAGCTACTGAAAAAGAGAACACCAACAGAGTGAGTGGAAGAGGGTGTATGCATGCACCTCTGCAATGCAGAGGCACCTGTGCATAGCTACTGAAAAAGAGAACACCAACAGAGTGAGTGGAAGAGGGTGTATGCATGCACCTCTGCAATGCAGAGGCACCTGTGCATAGCTACTGAAAAAGAGAACACCAACAGAGTGAGTGGAAGAGGGTGTATGCATGCACCTCTGCAATGCAGAGGCACCTGTGCATAGCTACTGAAAAAGAGAACACCAACAGAGTGAGTGGAAGAGGGTGTATGAGAGCCTTCGCAGCAGCCAGAAACTCACCCGAGGACGTACCAGCTGAAACATACCGGGTCTGTAATCACCTGGGGGCTAGGTACCTGCACCTGAAACCGTTGACCAAAGGAGAGTCCCCAAGTGAACCACTGGCCGCTAGCTAGAGCATAATGCCTGCTTTCTTGCAAGTAGCAATGGCATGATGTGCGGAGACGGTGCTGTGTGCAACTGTGCTTAAAGCTGAAACGAGATACTCATTCTTGTGAAGGCCGATGGTAGACGGACCGTGGAAGGCCGACCAGAGGGCCGATGGCAGAAGGATGCCAAAAAACCGTCCACCACTCATCCACGTGCCTCGAGCACAGCAGCAGACACGCGAGGTCACAGCAGCAGACACGCGAGGTCACAGCAGCAGACACGCGAGGTCACAGCAGCAGACACGCGAGGTCACATGTGGATTGGGGGAGGGGGACAGTTGGAGAAACAGGAAAGGGAAGGGAGAGGGGGAAGGGGGGGTCCGGGGAAGGAGGGATGGGACGGGGGGGGTAAGGGGGGGTCCGGGGGAGGAGGGATGGGACGGGGGGGGTAAGGGGGAGAGGGGGGAGAGGGGGTTTAGTACATGCACAAGACTTAAGCTGGACGCGAAACAACAAGAAGACAGACTCTAGGCGCGCTAAAGACACATACTCGCCCCCAGACCTCCCTTGCTTTAAGCACGTACCTGAAGGAGAACTCTCTGGCAGCACATCTGCCTCTGCAGCAGCTTGCAATGTCGCAGAAAGCTGTATTGGCAGTTGGGTTTAGCAGACGGGTGCAGCAGATGGCTGGCTCGTCTGTGCCGCGCTCTGTCCGTCCGCCAGTAAGCATGGAGCCTCAGCCAGGTGTGGTGTGCCTTGGTAGGTAGCTCGTGGTATAGGTCGGTGCTGCTGGGTGCTGCTCCATGTCCTCGCTTGCAGTGTGCCTTGCACATGGACACACAACGGAGGGGGAGGGGGGAGCATTAGTAGATGCTTCAAATAGAACTGGACACGAATCGAAACAAACGGAATGACTCTCTATGCGCACCTACTGATCCCCCCCCACTGTGAGATCCCGTCAACGTACCTTCATGTGGAATGGTGGCTTCAATACTGCTGGTGGGTGTGGTGCTGCTGGCAGCAGCCTGGCAGCGCCTCCTTATCATGCAGTAGGCAATGCTGTTCCGAGCCTGCTTGTAATTCCTGCTGATTCGTTTGTTGTCGTTGGTGGTGCTGCTGGCAGCGGCTCCTGGCAAACTCGTGCAGGTGGTGGATGCTGCTGCAGACCCGCTTGCAGTGCCTTGCACAAGGTTGAACCAAAGGAGGGATAAAAGGAGAGTATTAGCAGATCAACAGGGCTTGATTCGACTCTGAACGAAAGGAAGTAGATGGACTCTCTATGCGTGCTATCCTGTGACGACGCCTACACACCCCCGTTAACCATACTCCATCAACGAACCTGCATGTGGAGTGGGCTTTTGAGGCGCCTCAAAACTAGACTCCTATCACGCGGTTTTTTTTAGGCGCCTCAAACCTACACACCCCCGTTAACCATATTCCATCAACGAACCTGCATGTGGAGTGGTGGGTGTCATGCTGCTGGATGCAATGCAGCCACTTGGCGGATACGCTGCTGCTGAAAGCGGCCGCTTGACCAACCTTTCCATAATCTTTCTTCTCATTGCTTCTTGCTCAATCAATTCTGCAACAAACGGAAAAAAAAAACAAAACGAAATCAGTTATGCTAGAAGTGGGGAGACTACAACAAACTGGATTAAGAAAACGGCCAGCGACTTACTAGGGCACGACTCGGAGCCTGCTTGTGAAACGAAGGGTGGGTAGGTACCACGTGATCCACAGTGACGAATTGCACGCAGAACGAGATTGTTGAGTCGAACCTGCAAGAAACGAGAACAACATATTAGAACCGAGTGGTGGACACGGTTGAGAAAAACAGAGAAAACGACTGACGCCAAGTGTCAGCAATTGCCATAAGGTTCCTAACTTGGGCCTGACATTAGCACGGTAGGTTTGTAGATGAAAAAAGCAGCTCGCTGACGGAGACAAGAAATGTTCGTCGACGGACGGACGCAGCGCCGGCAATTCTTCGCGATTCTTCCCGCGCGAGCGGAGGTGCATACGGCTAGAGCAGCTGAGAGCGCAACGATTGACCGACTTTGAGGCGGAAATTTGGAATCTGGGAGGCGAAATGGGGAAATTTGGGCATGGTTTGGGGAAGAGCTAGGGCAAAATGCCTGGGTCCGGGGGGAGCGGACAGACATTTGGCGAGGAATTGGCTGTGAGAAGTGAGGGGTGCGTGGTGGGTGGATTTCGCAACCAGATGGGGTTTGGCAAGCCGCTGGAGTTAAGCAACCGGCTAGGTTGGGCCGTGGGGACACGGGGGAGATTCCAACCAAGGTTGCATGCAGAGGCTGGTTGTCGCCGCCCCAAGCCAGCAGAGAAGGTTCGGGAGGTTGGTTTCGCCACGCAAGCCAAGAGAAAATTGGTTCGGGAGGGGCTGGGACACGCGAAACGCCTTGTCGTTGGGGAGTGTTCTAGAAAAGTTTTGAGATACGCGCCGGAACGAGGAGAACGTTGGGACTGAGCGAAAGTATCTAACAACGTGGATCTACACTCTTATTGGCTGACGGTGGGACCAAAAAGGCCTGGGACCATCCATTGTGGGTCAGTCAACTGTGGACCACTCAAGTTCCGCATCGCACCTTCTGCGGCAGAGAAAGTCGCCGAGCTTGGGGACAAAGTACACCCACTTTCAAGGTTGGGGACT